GCTCGCCGCCGCCGGCCCCCTCCTCCCCTGCACCGCCAGCCCCCCGCCCCAGCTCCGAGCCCGCGGCTGCAGGGCCGCCTGCAAGCAAGGGGTTAAGAAGGGCGCAGACCCAGGACGGCTGGGGCGCTGGCTAATGCGCCCTGGAAGACCGCCTCTCCCAACACACCCATCCCCAGAACCCCATTCTGCAGGCATTGGGCGAAAAACAGAGCCAGATCCCCGAGGCCCAGCTGGGGGCCACTCAGAGCCACCTTCAGGTGGTCACTCGGATTTTAAAAGCCCGCTTACACCAGGGGGCCGCCATTGAGGGCTCTGAACTGGAGTTGATAAAGTTTGGGGCTACAAAAACCCAACCTTCGAAGCCCGTCTCCTTGGAATAGGCCTTCAGGGTACCTGTCCAGCTCTGCAGACTGGCACCAACGTTGGTGCCGAGAACATATCACCCCTCTGCTGACCTTCCACACCAACTGCTGCAGCCCAGCTCCCTAATACCATCCTGTTGTCTCTAAGGCTCAGGGCTCAACACCCACCACCTCCCAGTCCAGCCAAGGATGCTCTGATTCCCCGGGTGCACCCCAAGTTCTTGGCTCCTGGGCCACAGCCCTGGCACATAGTCGGTGTCTGGGCAAAGAAAACCCTAGGTCTTTCTTAAAAAGGAGTTGCTGTTAAGCCAAGCTCCCCTCTGTATTTCACTTACAACCCCAAGAGCTGTCATTTACCTCCATACTCACTCAACATCATCATTCTCACTTTAAATCCTGATTCTGTCCCCTCAGCAGAGTGACATTTCCTCCAAAGGTGACCACAGTCTCTGTTTTTGCTCAAGTTGTTGGTGAGAGGGAAAGGTTCTCAGAACTTTAAGGCATGTCTGGGATACCACGCTCCGAATGGACTTTGAGATGTGCAGCAACGCCGTTTTTAAGTTGCAAGGTGATGGTGTCTGGGATGCTCAGCTGCTCTTTCTCTCTCAGACATTCTTCTTAGACAACCTACCCCAAGTCCTGCCCTCGTTGGGGTATCTCTGACACCCGCATCCACACCCCTGGCCTCTCCCAGTAGACTTTGGGTTTTACAACATTGACCCTTAACTCAAGTGAACTTTCTCCAGGGCTTTGGAATGGAAATGCAGAGACTGAGGATAATTCAATTTAAAAATGGAAGCCTTTGGAGAAATGGCGAGAAGACAGGCCATGGAGAAGTGTCCCATGGCCAGAGCTCTGTGGAAGCTGTAGCTCTATTGAGAGAGTGGTTGCCATGGAGGCTTTCTCCTCTCTGCTTGCAGCAATCCAATACTCACTTGAATGTGTGTGTGTTGTTTTTGTTTTTGTTTTTTTGTTTGTTTTATCCCAGCAACCACCAGCCCTCCACACAAATCCACTGAATGTGCTTTTTATACCAACCAGCCCACTTTTTTCTCCAACCGTTAGCAAAGCTATCCGGTGCCATGTTGCTGAGGGCAAGATACTCACTACCTGTGAGATATTCCTGACCTCATCACCACTCTTGGAAAGTGGGGGGCCCCTGAGGAGGAGTATACAGGGCATAGATACTAAAGTTGAGAGACTGGTTTGCTTACTCTGCACACGTCATTGAGAAAGTTTAACTGTGCTAAGAGACCATCGTGTCTGATAGAGTCAGTGGTCAGATGAGGGAAGAATCTCGATGAGATGGATTGACACACTAGCCACAACAGTGGGCTCAGGACATGGTGATCCCAGAGATGGCGCCGGACTGGGTGATGTTTCATTCTGTTCTACATGAGCTTGGCATGGGCAGAAGCCAACACGACTAACAACAGAGGTCCTCACCCCAGGCTGGGTTCTGGCTTCTGGGCAGCACTGCTCCGCTGGCTGTGGGAAGAAACAGCCCCATCCTAGAAGCTCTGATCCTTTTCCAAGGGGTCCCACGCCTTCCTCTACTCCCTTCCCCAGCCCAGATGTGGAGTCCACATCTCGCGGGGGAAGCTAGACCCTACTTAAACCTGGAAGCGTCTCCAGGACAAAGCACTGAAAGGCTGCCTGCAGCCCCATCCCCTTCCCCAGGTGGCTGACATGAAACACAGTGCGCCCTCTTCAATTGGACTGGCCCCTCTTTAATTGGACCCATTTCGGTTTCGGGAGCAAGGCTGGGCCCCCCGGAGGGGCAGAGGACAGCAGTAGAGGAAGATGTTCAGGGTCTTGGCTGGATGCAGCCAGAGGCTGGGGTCTCCCCCGCAGACGAGGAGGCCACTTTGCATCTGCCAGACAGGAAACCTAGGAGGCCGGAGGCAGGGGAAGGAAGCAGAAAGTTGAGTCCTGTCCCTACTCAGACTTTATACCTGGATGGCAGAGAACAGGGCCACTTCCCATTCGACTTTCTGTTCCCTTGGATGCACGGCCACCTCTCACTACACTGTCCATCCATGGTGAACATACACAGAGGCCCATTTCCCCACCTCCTACCAGCCCCTGATCACAGATGTTCCACCTCTTCCCTCGGGCAGAACCAGGTGCAAGAGAAGCACAAGGTTAGCTTGTGGGGCACCCAGTATGCAAGACAAGTATGGGCTTCCTTGTGTTTACCGAGAAATCTGGGCGCAGAGGTTTCCCCAGTGACACCCACGTGAAGCTGTGTGCATGGAAGCCTGTGCTTAATGGGGAATCTGATGTGGGTCAGACATGAGGGTGATGTCAGGATGACAGGATAATCCTTGAAAGGCATGCCAGCAAAGTCTTGAGTTGTGAGTTCATTGGAGACACAGGGGGAAGGCAGGAGGGAATCTCTGACCCAAGCTGAGCTCCCTCCCTGACTGAGGACTGCCCTCCACAGAAGGAGAGCAGAGACTTCTGGGAGCAGAGAAGATGAGGGAGGCAGGCAATCCTGGTACCCACAGAAAGGCAGGCTGGCTTAGTGATGCGTTAACATGAGGTGTCCAGCATGTCTGCACATCTCCTCCTGCCTCCACTCGCCTCTCAGAATCCCCCATTCCTCTCCTGTCGCCAGGCTGCACCCACCTCACCCCAGAATGCATCTTTTATTTCCTATCAAGGTCCGAGGTCTGAGGGCCACTGACCACCACATAAGAGCACTGAGAGTGACTAAAGGTTTTGGGGACTTTAGCTCCTCTCAGAGCCACAAGAGAAGCACGCGGTTAAGCAAAAGGTTCATGGTCTGAATCCACCAACTGCTCCACAGGAGAAAGATGAAACAGCCTGCTCCTGTAAAGAATTAGAGTCTTGGAAGGAGAATCCGAAAGGAATGGTTGATTAGGAATCATGTGTATGACAATTAATAGCTTGGAACAGGAGAAGCATTACATAGGGGACTGGGGGATGGGGCGGGAGGAAAATATTCATGCATGCATGAATGAAAACCAATCTCTCCATGAACCTTCACTAAGCAAGAGAAATGTAACAGGAAATACTATAAAAAATTATAGTCTTGGAAATCCTGTGGACAATTCTATAGGGGTGTTAGGAAATGGAATTGACTTGACGGGGATGGGAGTTTTGTTGTTGTTTTAAGCAACAAGAGGCAGTGCCTTGCCTTCTACAGCAGAACCTGGGTTGGATTCGTGAGCATGCACCCCAGGGGTAGCCACCTCCCATCTGTCAGTGGAGGCATGTACACTGCATGACGCTGAACGGGTGTCACAGAGCTGAAACAGACGAAGACAGACTAGGAAGAAAGGTCTGGAGACGTGCTTCTAAAATGAGCTAATGAAAACGCTATGAATCACAAAGCCTCAGTCCCCAGTTTACGGTGGGATTGGTGAAGAGCAGGCACTGCTTCGTTCTGTGGTGTATGGAGCTGCCAAGAGTCAGGGTTCAGGGAAACTTAAGGACACAAGAGACAGAAGAAGGAATTGTCAGGCTCTGGTGTAAGCCCTTGGCTTTGTAGATGGTAGCTTGTGGCTCAAAGACACATAAGCCAACTGATGGCGGCCCCAGTACCAGGATACAAACTCCTGAGACTCAAACCAGCCCTTTGTTCCTGCCCCCCACCACTTCCCTATGTCCTGTCTTCCAAGAGGGCTCAGCCAGGCCTTCCCTGCACACAGTATCACCCTTGGAAGTTCTGTGCAGCGAATGCTTTTCCTCAGCCTCCCACCTTCTACCACAGCCTGCAAAAGCCCACTGGGCCTTGTAATGACACCTGAATCTTCCAAAAATTTACAGGCAAATCCACTTGCGTTTCTAGCACAGGAGTTTGCAATGGCCCTGTCTAGCTGGGTGGACGTTAGTGTGGCTTCTCTAGGACCCTGCAGTGTGTAGAGGTGGGACCAAGCCCAGAAGTCAGGAAGCTGGATTCTGTAAAGCCTGCTGGACGTCCACCGAGTGAGAGTTGCTCAGAAGTAACTTAAACATTGTGCAGAGCTATTGAGTCCTCACTGTAGACACATGCAAACCAGATGCAACTATTATGCAAATGAGATGCAAAATACATGTATGGGCCTCCCAACCATTGCAAATACCAGATGAGGCCCCCTTCAGGATCCTGGATTAGCTGAGTCCCGCAGTGGGGCTGAGAGGTGAGCTGGGATGCACGAGTCTTTTACAACGGACAGGAAGGACTTGCCTCTAAGAGAGTTCACACACTGGGGAAAGGAACTGGACAGGGAGTCCCTTAGATCCATCAGAACCACGTAAGATCCATCCTCAGCTCCACCCCTCACAAGTTGTATGACTTGGATGGAGTCACTTCTCTTCTCTGAACCTATATTTACCTATCTGTATAATGGGTTGCAGTGGTGGTTGTGTGCCATTGACTGAGTTGATTCTCACTCACAG